AAAGGTGATTAACTCAGAGTCTCGGCCAAGGTGGATGATTAGATGTGGTCCTTTTGTTATCATGTACCCATGCTGAATGCTATTTTATTAAATTAAGCCCCTTCGGAAAAAACGAGAGACTGATTAAGAAGATACACATAAAAAGGAAAATGAAATTAAAATACGGAAAGAAAAAGAAAAAGACAAAAAGAGCTATTTTGAAGGGAAACTTTACAAAAAAAACTCCCCTCATAGAGTGACAAATAGAATAATAAAAATGGAAAAGAAATAAGAACAAAATGATAGAAAAAGTAATAAAAAATGTCTAGGGATGAAAATAAAGAAAGAAAAATTTTAGAGAGAGAAAAGAAAAATGAAACATGGGGTCGTTTTGAACATATTTGTGAAAGGTGGTGTTATTTATATAAGGTTTTCAAAAAAGGGTAAAAAATCGGTATAGTAGGTCGCTAACATGTCATTGTCCAACAAAAGAAGATGTGGTGCAAATGTGGGATTATTCTTTGATTACATAAAGGTGAGATTTTTATGAGAAGACCAGTGAAAGGTGTGATTATTCTTGTCAATTTTTCCTTTTTTAAAACAGGCTAAACATTTTAGAGAGTGTTACGTCATCCTTATTTTATGTGTTTTATTTTAATTTAGTATTATTATTATTGTCTTTGTTGCATTCTTAGCTTTTTATTTTTATTTTGATCGTCTCAGCTATAGATTCTTATTTTCTATTTTAGAAAAAAAATTAAAACTATTAAAATAACAATTTAATAATCAAATAATAAAAATAATACATCTATAATATCAAAGTTATCATCAATAACTCATTATATTATATAAGTTTCAAATATATCTCAATGTACATAATCGTGTCATTTTGCAATGAGAACAATTGAACGGAACGTGGGTGGTAATAAAATGATTGAAAAAGAAAAAGTTGTGATTAAAATTTAAACATAATAAATTGAAATGTTGTGGTTCACATACTTTTTCCAAAAATAAAAATATGACACTTATTTTGAGACAATCCAAAAAAAAGGAATACGCGTAAAATAGGAATGAGGAAGTATTTCTTACTTTATACTCCCTCCGTCCCCAATTAAATGTCCCATTTTACCATATTGGGATGTCCGTATTTAAATGTCTCATACCTCATTTGGTAAAGTTTGTGTGGCTCAAAATCATTCTTACTTTATTCTTACTTTATTCCTACTATATCAATTAATATCAATCACACAAACTCACTTTTCTTAAAACTCGTGCCACCCTCTTCCGGGACTTTTAAAAGAGGACGGAGGGAGTATTGTGTATCAATAAAAATAATTGAGAATGAAGTAATTATATGAACGAATTCGATCAGTAGACTTGTAAAGTAGGCCTATTTAGTTTCACGATTTAGAAATTTAGGCAATTAAGTTGTTTTAGCCGTCAAATACTTTGTCATCTAATGAAATCAGTATTGACCTTCTAAAGAAGAGGTCACACGTTCGAGATTTATCGTAATAAAAAAATGTTGACATTATCATGAACATATACTTTAATTGGTTTGGAAAGATATTTCCAAAAAAAAGTTTAGAAAGATATTTCAAAAAATGAAAATATGACACTTAATTATTTAATCAATGACAAAACATATAATCAATTTCAACAATTCAAAACGAGCTCGTAATATGATTGTAGATATTTGTACGGATGCCGCTTTACATAGCCTCAAAATTGCGGCCACAATATCAGAATATGAGAGGTGCTTAGTGTACACACCCCTTTACACATACTAGATTTTCACCCGCGCGATGCGCGGGATATAAGAATGTAATAGTCATACGATATTATTTGTAAACAATGTACGCATGTGAAATGTTTGGAAATTGTGTTACTCGTAACATGCATTAGAACTTTTAATTAAAGATCGAAAACTCAGAGATAGATAGGAAGAATGTGTTGGAACAAGTAGACAAAAGGAAATGTTAGATAGGGTTTCACAGTTTATACATTGCGAAACACTTCTTTATAAACAACATTTGTGGTATGGTATGTTGGTTGGCCATCTTCATCGCATATTAATATCTTCAAACCCTTAGGATTTGTTACCCTTGACACTGCAACATAGAGTTGACCATGTGTAAACACCGACTTTTTCAATAAGAGTCCAACATGAGTCAAAGATTGTCCCTGGCTCTTATTTATAGTCATCGCATAAGAGGTCATGACGGGAAATTGTCTTCGCTGAAACTTGAACGGTATTCTTGAATCCGAAGGAGTTAAGCTCAACCTCGGAATGACAACCTCATGTCCCGCATATTTCCCGCCCATGATTTTTGCCCCTATGATGTGATTTCCAAGTCGTGTAACGATTAACCTTGTTCCATTGCAAAGCCCCATCGAAGGATCAATATTCCTTAAAAGCATTATTGGAGTCCCAACCTTGAGGGTTAACTCATGGTTTGGAACTCCAGACGCTTTTATTTTGTTCAGAAATTCTGGAGTATGTAAATCAGCCAGAAAATCAGCATTGGAGTCTGACTTGCAAATGCTATCTGAACTCAGATAGGTTCTTGACTCTTCATTAACATTCAGAGAAATCATGTATTCATTGATTGCATCTATAACATCAAGGGTTGGAGCCAGGATTGCGCGGTGTTGCAAGTAAGTCGGGTCATTGACAATATTCTCAAAGTTTGGGTAGGTGCTCTGGACAATAGTGGCAATGGGGTCGCTTCCACACTCTAACAAAAACTCTTTTGGAATTTGAACATCGGCAAAGCAATCATTATCTTCCCCCGCATTCCCGTCCCCTAAACTCGCAATCCACTTTGCAAAGTCAAGCAAATCTTCATATTCACGATCATCAGTCAATGATTGCAACCTCATGTTCTTCGTCAAACGTAATACCAAGCACTGTTGCCAAATATAGGAAGAATTAATCGTGGCATTCACAATGTCTTGTCTAGTACCTTTTGTAACGACAGGTAAAATTTGTCTGAAATCTCCCCCGAATACCACAGTTTTCCCTCCAAATGGTTTTTCATCACTGTTTGAATTAGTGAATCTCAAGATGTCCCGCAAACTTCTATCTAAGGCCTCGAAGCAATACTTGTGCATCATCGGCGCCTCATCCCATATGATCAGTTTGCAGCGAATGATCAATTGAGCAAGTGCACTACCCTGTTTGATGTTGCACGTGGAGTTTTCATTAGGGTTGATTGGTATTGCAAAGCGTGAATGAGCCGTCCTACCGCCTGGTAACAATAAAGCTGCTATGCCACTTGAAGCAACATTCAAAACAATATCTCCTTTGGACCTCAAAGCAGCTGACAACGTCTTCCACACAAACGTTTTCCCTGTACCTCCATAACCATATACAAAGAACACCCCACCACTATTTTCTTCAATAGATTGCATAATGGTTGTGTACACGTGACGTTGTTCATCATTGAGACTCTGTATGCATATGTCATGCTCTTCACGGAGGGCAGCACGATCGTATTGCAACTCGTCAAAAATCAGTCTGTTTTGATACATGGCAGTATCACTTATCGTGGGAAATGGCATTGATGGATAGTCCTTTAAAGTCCTGCCAATCCTTCTCAACATCATTTCTATTTCAGTCAATGCATAATTCTTAACCTCATCCTCGGTCAACTTCAAATCTGATATTACACGTATGAAAAGACCATTATCAAATAACATGTGTAATATATAATGTATGGTTTTGAATATACATGCACACACACACACACACATTCTTGTGTATAGGTATATGTATGTGTGAAATTAAAATTGTTTATTACCTGGATGCATTAACGCTCTTCTTTGCCTGTGTAGAATGTCATCTGACATAAATGTACAACACTTGTCCCACACATATTCTGGTCTACTCATTGTATCTGCTGCCAGTAAGATCACAAACAACTTTCTAAGTAACCATGCAGTAGCCCAATAACTACCTTCTGAAAACCCTTCAACGTACTCCTTGTCATCGTCCAACAACCCTAAAGCGAAACATGCCTCGCGGTATGTATTATGAATAATTCCATCCACAGTTCTCAGATCATCATAGCTTGTAGCCCCACGCCTCAAATTAAGCACACATCGCAAATAATAAGACTCTCCTGAACCCGGTGGCACATACGTTAGACGGCCTATTGCAAACCCTTTTTGTCGGGGTACAAATTCTCTTGTTTTTGCTTTCCAGACAAACTTTTGTGGGAATTCCGCATAAGTTAGATCCCTTGCCTCGGGGTACTTAGCATTTGCTCTCATCCATGCAAGAAACATACTCTCCTTAACAGATTCACGCAGCACGACGTCATTAACTGATGCTGTAACACCGTCCCCAAATGTATTTACTTTTATGTGAATATTATATTTTAACCTTATGGAATGGTTAGAGAATTTATGATGTTACGAATTTTTATTAATTCTTTCGCACGAATAGTAAATTCGCACGTGGGGCCCGCACCGGGAGCGGGAGCCGCCCGACATTTCCGGGACCACATAAATTATTTATTTTGGTCTAGATAATATTCGTATGGTGATGGATAACTCAATTGAGCCATGGAAAGGTCCGGAGTTGGCCGATTGGTCAAAAGGGGCTCAAATACCGGTATTGGCGATTTAACCGATAGAAGCCCGAAATTGAATTTCGGGGACTTATAAATTTAAAGTTGGGGAAAGTATATTCACTATAAGGGTCATAATGGTTGAGAACACACAATATATTTTATTTGACCCGATAAAATAAAATATAATTAAAACTGTCCGAAAAATACAACTTTCGGGACAAAGTGTACACTTTTGGGCAAAAAGGGTTGACCTCCCACATGGGTGGGGGCCAACCCACGATTTTAGCCCCTAAATCAATAGGGTGGTCGGCTAGTAGGGATGGGAAAACATGGGGGAAGGACTTGGAATGGAAAGGAAAAGCATCAAACAAAAATGAGGGGACCCCATCCACCCTCATTTGACCATTTAGACAAAAAGGACTATCTCCTCACCCCTCTCCCTCATTTTACTGCGGTCAACCCACACCCAGAAAGAGCAAGAAACTCTCAAGCCTCCCTCTCCATTGTTGAAGAAAGTTCTACAAGAAAGAATCCCAAGAAAAGGAGCTAAAGTGCTAAAAGTGTGAAAGGATCAAGGTAATGACCTTATCATGACTTTTTCTTTGTTTTCCTTCCATCATAGGAGGTATATATCATATGGAGAACCCTTGGGGTTGTTCTACATGATAAAAGTGTGGAATGATGGGTTGGAAAGTAGTTCTAGGTCCAAGAACGGACTTAGGAGCCAAACCGACAAGTTCACCGGAAAATAACCTTTTGGAGGTTATTTGTTTTGATTAAGGTTTTATGATGTTAAAACCTTGTTAGGAACTTGATTAAAGTGTTTTTGAGCCTCGCCGGAGTTTCGCCGGAGTTGGTCAAAGTTCGCCGGAGTTGGTCAAAGTTCACCGGAAACTAGTCAAAGTTCAACCGGGAAGCGTAGAACGCGTGTGAGCTCACTTAAGGTGAGGATGACCGACTATATTGCTTATAATTATTGGGTTAATTTCATAAGATTACCTAAATGAATTATATGTGTTTGGCATGATTTATTTATAATAAAAAGATGCCTAAATGAGATTATTATTGTTTATAAGTAAAAATGCATAATATACAAATTTATGAACAAATTGTGTATGATTGTGTGTTATGAATACAATGACATCATAGTTGTGTAAACTATAAACTAAATTGTGATAAATATACTTTTACCTCATGAAAGAAAGTCATGGAAGGATAAAAGTGATATTTTGATATTAGAGCCAAGTTATACTTGAACGAGGAATTTAATTGGAATATCCAAATTGTTATGAACTCAAGTTACATTTGGAGTAAGCCTTAGGGGTTACTCAAAATGGATGGAACCTAGACTAAGAAGTGGTTTAGGGATTAGTTGACGTGACTATGAGCCGAGCTCTAGCACGTGGTAGGGTGACTATGAGCCGAGCTCTAGCACGAATTAGTATGACTATGAGCCGAGCTCTAGCAAGCGTAGGGTGACTATGAGCCGAGCTCTAGCACAAATTAGTATGACTATGAGCCGAGCTCTAGCAAACGTAGGGTGACTATGAGCCGAGCTCTAGCACAAATTGATATGACTATGAGCCGAGCTCTAGCATGGAGGACATGAGTTAATTATAAATGAATAACATCTTAGATTGAGGGTCTTGGAAATTGAAACTTTGATTATACTTAGTATAGTTGTCATTGTACTTGTCAAATGCTTCCAAGTACTGACCTCCCCTTCACGGGGGAGGCCACCTCACAGTTTCAGGTAGGGAGTAAAGCTTGCTGCCATCACCGTTGCTCGGGTAGGATCCAAGAAGAGGAGACATGGTTCGTGCCTCTTCAGATTCCATTTTTCAAACACTTTAATTAATGCTCATGGATAATGTTTTCCTATTGAATATTTAATGGGGGCTTGTATGCCCATGTTTGCCAAAGTGTGGCATGAACACTTGTACCAAATGTTTCCGCTGCTTGAATGAATATTTTACATTATGTTTGTTTATGGATGTACTATGCGTGATTGATATCTCGGACGCCTTGTATAGTATGAATGTGTTGGACTGCGGTTGACTATTCGTACTGTACGGCGGATTGTTGACGTGTCCGGATAGGTCCGGGGCGTGACAATTTAATTGGTATCAGAGCCTTAGTCCGTAAACTTCATAATGAAGCTTCAAAATTCCTTTTTGAAAATGATTTTGCAAACCATGAGCATAAAGTTTTGTACTTATAGAACTTTTGGTACTTGAGTTGCAAGGTCTCTAATTGTTAAGATGGTACCCTTAACAATTGGTATGACGGTGATTTGAGACAAAAGTTGTCTTTAAGTACCTATCCGTCACTTGACATTTGATACGAGTCTAACGGCTCATTCTAAACTTCTTTCAGAAATGGAGCCAATTGGAAGAATCACTAGGAGGAACCCGATGGGCCGTGTACCGGGTGGGTCCGAACGCGGCAGTCGGGGGTCCACTAGGGTGTCCAGGGGAAGGGGCCGTGGAGGCCAACAACAAACTGTGAGCGATGGCCACGTGGACACTGAGAGTGAGACTTATTGGTCCTATGAGGACTCAACCTATAGGCCGGAAACCGAGCCGGTGGAAACCCCATATGATGGGGAAGATGACGATGTAAGTGAAGAGAGTGAAGACGATGGCACTCTTGGGAGGATCGAGGCGCTGCTCCAACAATACCACCGGGAGCGTGAAGAGAGGAGACAACGCCGAAGGCGCCGAACGGGGCAACCTTCGGGCATGGCTTCGAGAGGAGGAAGCCAAGGTGCTTCTAGAGTCCATGTTGAACCACATGGAGGCCAAAATGTGGGAGGTCCAACCATAAGGATCTCCAAATTTATCAAAGAAGCACGAGATTTGGGATGTAAACCGTTTGATGGAACGGGAGACATCTCCGTTGCGGCCGAATGGATCAAAAGATTCAACGAGGCGGCCCTTGACATGCAGCTGCCACCCATCATGAAACTGAGGGTGGCAACAAGATTGCTCGAAGGCATGGCGTCCACGTGGTGGGACGGGGTCAAAGGGAAATACGGCGAAGCCGTCACTTGGGAGAACTTTCGGCAGGAGTTCTTCAACCAATACTACTCCGACTTCGAGGTAAACATGAAGAGGAGGGAGTATACGAACTTGACACAGGGAGGCGCATGTACGGTGAAGGAACTTGAGCACAAGTTCAGAAAGCTTGCCGAATTCATACCGGAGTACATATGTGATGAGAACCGGATGGTGAACCACTTCTGGGATGCCTTAGACCTTGACATACGCGAGAGGGCAACACAATTGCCTAATATGACGTTTAGTCAAGTGGTTGAACAGGGCCTGAAGGGAGAGAAGGAGTGGGAGGAAAGAAAGCGGAGGAACGCCGATGAGGCGAAGAAGAGGAAGTGGGAAAGCCATGGCCCACAAGGTTCTAACAAAAAGGGGAACCACGGGGGAGGAGGATCGTTCAGGGCACCGGCGCCGCCATCCAAGGGAAACTCGGCTTTCGGCGGGCACAACTCGGGCTCACAAGCCTCGGCAGCGCCCAGGTGCCGAAATTGCAACAGGAGCCACGCCGGTAAGTGTCGTGACCCTCCTCGGTGCTACCAATGTGGAGACACGGGGCATCTTAAACCAAATTGCCCTCAACTTGGTGGAAACCGAGGGGCGGGATCAAGCGGCGCTACTACGGCAAGTAGAAGTCGGACCGGAGCACCCCATGCTAGTACGGGGCAGGGGGGGAGCGAGCGCCAGCAACGCGCCGTCCGTAAATCAAGGAAGGACGCAAGCTAGAGTCTACGCAATGACCGAGGCCGATGCTCGGGCCAATCCCGACTCCGTTGCAGGTAATACACGTATTTCCATGTATTTCTAGGCTTGCATTGATCATATACGTCGTAGGGATTGAGTGCGGGCCACCCCGGGGTCAAAACCGGGCAAGTTAGGCCAAATCAGCTGGAAACAGTCACTGCCGGCCAGGCACGCTCGCAGGCACGCCGTGCCTGGCATCGTGCCTGGAAGGCAGTGGCAACCGGAAGATTTTTGGGCCAGGCACGGTCGCAGGCACGCCGTGCCTGGCACCGTGCCTGGAAGGCAGTAGCGTCCAAAGTATTTTTGGCCAGGCACGGCCGTAGGCACGCCGTGCCTGGCATCGTGCCTGGCCGGCAGTGGCACGCAGAGTTAGTTCGTTGCACGCACGGTCGTGCGTGCCACCCAGGCACGCCGTGCGTGGACCCCCAACCCCCGAAAATTGATTTTTTCACCCCGTTCTTCTACGTTTGGACCCCCGTTTGATTCCAAACCTTAGTATTGACTTAATAACCTCCTAAATATGTGTAACAACATTAGAAACTGTGTCTTACATGGTGTATAAATGTAGGAACATTAAAGATCAATGGTAGGTGTGCGAGGATCCTCATCGATACCGGGGCACAACGCTCATTTGTGAGTGAGGCGTTCGCCGAGGGACTTGACGTGCCATTGACACCTATGACGCAAACGTTGCTAGTCTCCACACCGTTAGGGGACGATGTGGAGAGAAATCATTATTATCCATCGTGTGAGGTGGAAGTGACGGGTCAACCCTTGACTTGTGATTTCGTACCTCTAAGCATGTTGGAGTTCGATGCAATCCTAGGAATGGATTGGCTTGAGAAGCACCATGCTCGAGTAGATTGCTACACCAAGGTGTTGGAGCTCGAGGATGAGCAAGGAAACACGCTGTGTTTCGAAGGAGATCGGGGGAAATCAAATGTTTGCATCATATCCGTGATGAGAGCACGGAAGATGATGAGAAAAGGGTGCCACGCATACCTTGCTTACGTGGTAGATGATACGAAGAAGGAAGTCGACATCAAGGATGTTCGAGTCGTGTGCAAGTACCCGGACGTCTTTCCCAAGGACCTACCAGGGCTTCCACCCGATAGAGAGATTGAATTTGTAATCGAAGTGGAGCCGCGAACCAAACCCATTTCGATTCCTCCTTATCGAATGGCACCGGCCGAACTTCAAGAGTTGAAGGTCCAACTACAAGAACTATTGGACAACGGGTTCATCAGACCCAGTCATTCACCGTGGGGAGCACCCGTACTATTCGTAAAGAAGAAAGATGGTACACTAAGAATGTGTATTGACTACCGACAGTTGAACAAGGTCACCATCAAGAACAGGTATCCCTTACCGAGGATTGATGACTTGTTCGACCAACTTCGAGGGGCAATAGTGTTCTCGAAGATTGACTTGAGGTCGGGGTATCATCAGTTGAAGATCAAGGAGAGTGACATACCTAAGAGTGCATTTCGCACTAGATATGGTCATTACGAATTCCTTGTGATGTCGTTTGGTTTAACCAACGCACCGGCGGCATTCATGGACTTGATGAACCGTGTGTTTAGTGAATACTTAGATCAATTCGTGATAGTATTCATTGACGACATCTTGATATACTCCAAGAGCGAGGAGGAGCACGAACACCATTTGAGGCTTGTACTTGATCGGTTAAGGGAAAAGCAACTCTTTGCCAAGTTCTCAAAATGCGAATTTTGGCTCAAAGAGATTGGTTTCCTCGGTCACGTCATATCCGGTTCGGGCGTTGCCGTGGACAACGCCAAGATTAAAGCTATTATGGATTGGGAGAGGCCCAAGAATGTAAAAGAGATACGTAGTTTCCTTGGCTTAGCGGGATACTACCGTAAATTTGTGGAAAAATTCTCCGTATTGGCGTCTCCATTAACGAAGCTCACAAAGAAAGGGGCCAAGTTCATATGGGACGACAAGTGTGAGAAAGGGTTCCTTGAACTGAAGAAACGACTTACCAAAGCACCAGTATTAGCCCTACCTATACAGGGGATAGGGTATGATATCTACAGTGATGCTAGCATCCAAGGGCTTGGATGTGTACTGATGCAAAACGGTCGGGTGATTGCCTATGCTTCTAGGCAATTGAAGAAACACGAGGTGAACTACCCTACCCACGATCTAGAGTTGGGGGCGGTAGTGTTTGCACTAAAGATTTGGAGGCATTACCTCTATGGGGAGACATGTCACATTTTTACCGATCATAAGAGCCTGAAGTACGTATTCACTCAGAAAGAGTTGAACATGAGACAAAGGAGATGGATGGAGTTGATCAAGGATTATGACTTGATCATCGACTATCATCCCGGAAAAGCCAATGTAGTGGCCGATGCACTGAGCAGGAAAGGTACGTCGGGGACACTACTCACATGTCTACGAACCTTGAGGGCACAAGTGGAGGTGTCCACGAGTGGGGTCCTCATTGCTAGATTCGAGGTTAGGCCCACATTGCTGAGTGAGATCAGTAGATGTCAGGCCACTGATGATGAATGCCAGAAGATCCGCGAGAGGATCCTCGAAGGGCCCGTGGAGAACTTTCGGGTACGTGATGACGGTCTTTTATTGTTTAAAGACCGTGTGTGCATACCAAAGAGTGAAGAGCTCCAAAAGTCCATACTGGAGGAGGCTCACTCTTCGGCATATGCTATGCATCCAGGAGGTACTAAAATGTACCGAGACTTGAAGGAAAGTTACTGGTGGTCGGGTATGAAGAGGGATATCGCAGAGTACGTGAGTCGATGTCTTACTTGCCAACAAGTTAAGGCAGAGCATCAGCACCCGGCGGGGCTTTTGCAGCCACTAACAATTTCAGAATGGAAGTGGGAGCATGTGACCATGGACTTCGTGGTGGGGTTACCACGAAGAGTGAACAACTATGATGCAGTATGGGTAGTGGTTGATAGGCTCACCAAGAGTGCACACTTTTTGCCTATCAACATTACTTATCCTCTTGAGAGATTGGCAAAGCTATACACGGAGGAGATTGTGAGACTACATGGAGTCCCGATATCCATTGTCTCGGATAGGGATCCACGATTCACATCTCGATTTTGGCCCAAGTTTCAAGCATCTTTGGGTACTAAACTGAAGTTTAGCACAGCTTTTCATCCACAGACGGATGGACAATCCGAGAGGGTGATACAGATTTTAGAAGATATGCTTAGGGCATGTGCTTTGGAGTTCCAGGGGAGTTGGGACAAACATTTGGCTCTAGTAGAGTTCGCCTATAACAATAGTTATCAGGCGAGTATTGGCATGCCTCCATATGAGGCATTGTATGGGAGGAAATGCAGGACACCGTTGTGTTGGGACGAGGTTGGCGAGGCCAAGCTCGAAGGGATTGAACTTGTTGAAATCACCAAGGCTAAGGTGAAAGTCATTCAGGATAGACTCAAGGCTGCCCAAGATCGGCAGAAGAGTTATGCCGACAAACGACGAAGGCCATTGGAGTTCGAGGTCGGTGATAAGGTCTTCCTAAGAATTTCTCCTTGGAAGGGTATCATCCGATTTATATCGAGGGGAAAACTCAACCCCCGATACATTGGCCCATTTGAAATTCTTGAAAGGATAGGGGTCGTGGCATACCGTCTGAAGTTGACGCCAGAACTTGAGAGGATACACGACGTGTTTCACGTATCGATGCTCAAGAAATACGTGAGAGATCCATCTCATATTCTTGAGAAGCCACCGGTAGAGATACGCGAAGACCTACAATATGCGGTAGAACCGGTGAAAATTGTGGGGCAACAAGTGAAGAAATTGAGAAACAAGGAGATTCCTATGGTGAAAGTCCTTTGGAGGAGTGATCGGGTCGAGGAAGAAACATGGGAGACCGAGGTCTCGATGAGGGAGCAATACCCTTTTCTCTTCGATTAGGCACGTGGATTTCGGGGACGAAATCCCAAATAAGGGGGGGTGAACTTGTAACACCGTCCCCAAATGTATTTACTTTTATGTGAATATTATATTTTAACCTTATGGAATGGTTAGAGAATTTATGATGTTACGAATTTTTATTAATTCTTTCGCACGAATAGTAAATTCGCACGTGGGGCCCGCACCGGGAGCGGGAGCCGCCCGACATTTCCGGGACCACATAAATTATTTATTTTGGTCTAGATAATATTCGTATGGTGATGGATAACTCAATTGAGCCATGGAAAGGTCCGGAGTTGGCCGATTGGTCAAAAGGGGCTCAAATACCGGTATTGGCGATTTAACCGATAGAAGCCCGAAATTGAATTTCGGGGACTTATAAATTTAAAGTTGGGGAAAGTATATTCACTATAAGGGTCATAATGGTTGAGAACACACAATATATTTTATTTGACCCGATAAAATAAAATATAATTAAAACTGTCCGAAAAATACAACTTTCGGGACAAAGTGTACACTTTTGGGCAAAAAGGGTTGACCTCCCACATGGGTGGGGGCCAACCCACGATTTTAGCCCCTAAATCAATAGGGTGGTCGGCTGGTAGGGATGGGAAAACA